TGTGTTCTTCTTCCTGTTCTTTCTTTCTTTCTTTCTTCTCTGTCTTCCTCTTCCTGTTATTTCTTTCTTTCTTTATTCTCTATCTTCTTCTTCCTGTTCTTTCTTTCTTTCTTTCTTTCTTTCTTCTTCTTCTTCTTCTTCTTCTTCTTCTTCTTCTTCTCCTCTTTTTTTATTTCTTCTTCTTCTTCTTCCTTCTTCTGCTGCTGCTTTCTTCTTGTTCTTTTTGTTTTCGTCTCCTATTAACAAAAACATGAGGTTCTTCTTCTTCTTCTTCTTCTTCTTCTCCTCCTCTTTTTTTTAATTTCTTCTTCTTCTTCTTCCTTCCTCTGCTGCTGCTTTCTTCTTGTTCTTCTTCTTTTCGTCTCCTATTAAAAACATGAGGTTATGGCCCGGCCCTAGAGACATTTTGGGGAGCGTCAGCATGGTTCCTTTTCTACCAGCAAGTCGCGGAACAGCATAACATATGACACACCCACTGTTGCATATTGTAAAGGTGCAGACCAGAACAAGAACCGACCTCTCAATACAAAGTACAAGATAGCGTAGCGGAAGACTTAGATACCAATGATCCGAACAATCAATATTGCAATGCAGCCCYGAACATACATCATCATYATCRTTCCATGGTGTGAAAGGGGTCTGGCGCYTCACACAGGAAGACTGCGCCAGCCCATACCATACACAGACGAAGAGGAAGGGGATAGACGAAGAGGAGGGGGAAGATGGGAATGTCGTCAACACCAAGTCTTCGGCACAGGCCCAAATAGTCCCTCGTCAAAATGTCTGAATCCCAAATGTCGAGTTTGGATCCAATGTCGTCAAGTCTCAAGTCACAACTCTCTCTCTCTCTGTCGTAGTCTGAGGAGTCAGGTGGTGAGAGGGTGAGAAGAGATGGTGGACTTAGAAGAGGAAGAAGAAGAACTCTCTCTCTCTCTGTATCGAGTACTAACCTGTGAAGTTGGCGCCTTGATGCAGGTACCTCGAAGATGGAGCTGGGGCTATGGCGCCACAGGTAAGTCTCGCTGGCCTCCGCCAGCCATCTCTCTCCCACACTACCACTACCACCTACTAGCGCCCAGCGCTGAAGACTACTGTTAGCGCTAAGCTACTCCTGGCAGCGCTCCTCCTGAGTGCTGCGGCCGAATCCTGAAGACTACTCGTCCTACTGTCCAACTTCTTGCCTGTAGGGCGGGCCAGTCTTATATAGTGCTGGCCCGTCCAGGAGGCTGCTCTTGCCAATGCCCAAACGTGCTAGACCCTGAGGACGCTTCCGGGAAGTTTCCAGGTAGCTTCTGGCTAAAGCCTGAGGAAGCTTCCGGAAGTTTCCAGGTAGCTTCTGGCTAAAGCATGAGGGGCTATAGGCCCTTCTTTTCAGGCTGAAATGACACGGGGCCTGTAGGCCCTGGTTTTCAGGCTGTCAGGCTGAAACAGACACAGGGCCTGTAGGCCCTTTTCAGGCCGTCAGGCTGAAACAGCCACGGGGCCTGTAGGCCTGGTTTTCAGGCCGTCAGGCTGAAACAGCCACGGGGCCTGTAGGCCCTGGTTTTCAGGCTGTCAGGCTGACACGGACACGGGGCCTGTAAGCCCTTGTTTCTAGGCTTTTAGGCTGAGACTGCGGAACAGGCCCTGCAGGCCCGTGTGGCTACACAGTATGCCACACCCACGCTTCCTTCTATCAAGGCTGAAAGATCCCTGACCGACATTTATTGCTCCGAGTTCTGGAGGAGTAATTGTCAGCTAGCCTTATGGTGTTGTAGACGCCAGTCACTGTGTACACAGTGATCACCTGGAGCAGTAGGCCTTGGGTGTCCTGGAATATGAGACCACCTCCCATCCCATCCTCACGTCAATACTCCGAGCACACCCCTTATCCCACTATCCTACCTCAGTGTGACCAGCACTCAGGACCATTACCCTACCAATGGGCACCAGGTAACTTGGACCTAACAGCAGTGATAGGCACCAGGGCTGATACGTTGCCCAGCCCTGGTGGAAGCGGAATCTTGTCGAACGGGAACTTCGGACGCCAGGCCCAGACAATCTACTACAGGCCCTAAGAGACTCTGGGCCCTAGGTTTCAGACAGGGTAGCACCCATTGAAGCAGTCTTACCGTCCTTCCCCTAGCTTACCCAAGGCCAGGCGGAACTCGGACTGGCCTGAGCGACTTATACCCCTACCCTTAACCCAGGGTCTAAGCCTTATATATAGCCACTAGACAGTTCTGCCCGAATATCAGTAGGAACTCCGGTGGCCCATACCTGTCCCTACCGCAGATACTAGACCGCACCCAGTGACTAGACCCCCCCAGTCTGATAGTTGTGTAGTTCGAAGATGTATGTGTATACCCGAAGGCTATGTATGCTTCGTGTATCTATGCATGAAGATGTACAGACAGCACTATGTGTGGAAACTTGTGTATGTAGCCCGTAGGCCATGTATAATTCGCAAGCTATGTATATGCCCGAAGGCTGTGTGTGCTCTGTGAATCAATGTATCGAGATGTATAGGCAGCATCATGTGTGTATATCGAAGAGAGAATGGGGTGAGCTGGAAGGACCCCCCCAAGATCCGAGCCAAGCTCGAACCCGTGACCTTGAAACATGTAATCGTATGACTCTACCATGTGAACGGCTAGTGGAAATGGCCTCATGAAGTTTCTCTTGCTCTCAGTCTTGCGAGGACTGTCAAATATTCTTGCAAATTGAGAAATTCATGATCAGATGTTTTGCTGCTGCTTCCTTTAGTAATGAACATGTCCTCCTTCTTGACTACACCTATCTTTTTTTTTGTGTTGCCCTCTGGGCGGGTTCAGGTTGCCTGCTTAACTATCCGGTTCTCCTGATCCACAACCTGGATCCCTTCCTCACTTGGCATCCCATTTTCTCACTTTCTGCCTGTTTTTAGATATTCTCGCGATTTTTACCTTGCAGCAACCAGTTTTTCGCAAAGGCTTTCGTCCTGGCTTTGAATCGGTTCGGCCTATCGTTGGAAGCCGCCTTAATTTTCTGCCAGCTGCACCTGATCAGTGATCTCCATTTCCACGATGCCAATCAGCTATGTCCATGCTGCTTCCCTCTTGCTCGTGTTACCTTCAATGGTCTGGCCGCACATTTCCTTCCTTTTTTTTTTTTCCTTTTTTTTTTAACCACCAGTACCTTTGTCGGTTCTAAAATACTCGGCCTCCGACCTTTCAGGAGGCCAAAACGAAACGACGGCCGCCGATCAGATTGATCAACGTCGGGCTCGGCCTCCTGAAAGTTCGGGTACTGCCCAGGACTTGTCGAAACCGGACGCCAAAGGCACCAGTACCTTTGTCGGCTCGAAAATACTCGGCCTCCGACCTTTCAGGAGGCGGAAACGAAACGACGGCCGCCGATCAGATTGATCAACGTCGGGCTCGGCCTCCTGAAAGTTCGGGTACTGGCCAGGACTTGTCGAAACCGGACGCCAAGTACCCGAACTTTCGTGGGGAGCAGCACGTGCTTTGGCGTCCGGTTTTGACAAGTCCTGGCCAGTACCCGAACTTTCAACAAGTCCTCGCCAGTACCCGAACTTTCAGGACTTGTTGGGAACAAGGCTCCAATCTATTCGTGGGGAGCAGCACCTGCTGGGAATTCTA